ACATCGCAAATGGTTATTTTTCATATAGTATCCACGGTAAACAGCATCATTCATCTCTATTCCCTTGCTCCAGACAAATCAATGATTGTTAATGCAAAGTCAACACGTCCAGATGTAGTTTGCATACTAGTTAACCACTAAATTGGCATCACATAGTACAAAATAATCAAGAGACATTCAAGGAACCAAACAAAAGCAAAAAGGAGGCAGATGACTAGCAATTAATCCATAAAAGACCTTTAAAGAGTAGGAACTTCTTCCCCAGAAAACACGGTGTGGCCAAACGGAATCCGTAAATGTGAAATTCTAAATAAACGTAATGATAGATGCTCAGAAATTTAGAAATTACAAGAAATTACTATCTCTTGGTGCCATTTATTCATGTCCCTTACCAAAAAGCATCCACAACCTCCACCTGTGTTCACAGCCCCTGCACAGGCACCTCTCGCCCTCACCCTCCCCTTTCTGTCCCCACTTGGCACATTACGTACAAATAGGGCCTAGTCCTGCAAACGGCACCACTGACAAAATTCACGGTTATGGGCACCTTCCCCATGACTGTGGGACTAACCCTGCCCATTTTACAGCTCCCAGCACGATTAGCACACCAATAATTGCTCAAGTGGATCTGAGCGCGAACCGGCGCAACCCACAGCACCCAGTGTAACACCAGTGGGGCAAGGGGGGATCCAGCAAACCCTTCTGCACACGCAGTGTGCTTCATGCACCCGCGCAGTCCCACGGAAGCAACCTAGGCTGGGCGACCCCACGCTCCCCCGCGCGGATAACGCCTGCACCATGCCCTTTCCAAAATCTAGGCGATGCGCAAGATGCTCAAGCTGAGGCTGCTGGCAACTCAACTCTCCATGCCAGGGACCCCGAAAGGTGCAACTCCCCCCCCGCATTCGCCAGCCCGGAGCCAGCGTGGCCTCGCGGGGAGCAGCGGGGAGCAGCCCTACCGCCGGCACCGGGGCTGGGCCCCACTGCACCGTGGCGGGAGGGTCTAAATCCCTCAACGGGCGCAGCATCCAAAGAAGCGAAGCACAAATCCTGAATTCCTATCAGCACAAGCCTTGCAGTAGGTTTCAACCTCCCCACCCCTGCCCCCCACTCCCAAAAAAATTAAATTAATCTAATTTTTAGAACACTAATTTCACTACCGCACTTGCATAATTGCAAACTTGACTGTGCATCACCAGGGCCACGTGACTGCACCCGTCAACTGAACTATTCACAGCGTTGCATTATGGCAGTGATATATATTTAAATTATTCTGGAGTTATGCGAATAACGTCGTAAGGTTTTATACGGCGCTTCTGTAAATATTATCTACTACTTTAATAATATTATGTCTATTTTCATCCTCACTGAGGATGAGGTACTTGAAATTTTTCTTTTTTAAAAAATACATTTCAGTTATGTCACAAGAAATCTGTTAATATCCCTCTGCTGGCCTCCCTTCCTCCCCCTCCCCCTTCCAGGCTGCCAAACAGCAATTTTTAAAATGATAAATATTGATCAACTTTCCAGAAAAAAAGAGAGAAAGAAAAAAAGAAATTTCCCTGAAAGCAGACTGCAATGAAAAATTATGAAAATTTTTCAAGCAGGAGGAGGTTTCTCCTGGAAGGACATGGCCATACAGAAAGGTTAGATTCAGAAACCCATTATAACCTCAAGCGTAGCTTTTCATCACCAGCGGAACATATAATGGAAGCCGTTGTTTAAAAGAAACTGATATACACAGAGTTAAAGATTGTAAAGGTTGCGGTACGCACACCTACGGTATGACAGCATCCCCACAAGTTGCAGTCGAGTACTATGGCATTGCATTTTCATCTCTGCAGAGGAGATGTGCAACACGCAAACCCATTTCAAATATCGACAGAAAATTCACTTATTCCCACAACAGCTGAAAACAGGTTAAAACAGAAATAAACTAGAGCCCTTCAAGTTTCAATTCCTCTATTTTAGGATAGCATGATAAACTTTAAAGATGTAACTATAAAATGTTGCCACTGTGACCTAAAATATGTCATTATTTGTAATTAAAATGCAGCACCCATCAATGTGTCCCCCCCGATGCCAAAGCACTGCCACAGTGCTGCTCCCCAGATCTTGGGGTGAAGGTGTGGGGCTGGGCAGAGAAAAAGCAGCATCAAAAGATCTCCATTCATTTGGAAAAAATGTATGAAATTTAAAAAAAAAAAAAAAAAAATAGCTAAATAGTTTCTTTGGGTATAATCACAGAGTAAGTGAAAGTTAATGGGTACAGATCAAAGAAGGGAATTCTTGGAGTATAAGAATATGGAAAAGCTACCACGTTAAAGCTTCCTGGATGAAACCATGAATAAAATATTCTCCAGGATTGTTTAATCCAATTTAGAGCACTGTGTGTAATTTTTACCCATATGTGCCACCCTACTCTAACTGCACCACTGCTGGTCTGTCACCGTGGTACTCTCTTCATTATTTGCTAAAAAAGAGATTCAGGAAGAGGGTGGGTCCTTTTCATGAGGGGGGGTGGAGGGGGAAGAATAAACGCAAAAATAAAAATATGAAGTTGACATTTCAGAATATTCTCTTCTCCACCCAAGAGTTATCCTGCTTTGCAAATTTTTTCCATCGCCCCCCCACTTTGAGCCACCCAAAACATGAAACAAATAAAGGGGAGGAGAGTGAAAAAGAGCCCCTGAACCCTGAATTCACCAGCCATTCCTGCCTAATTTCCAGTAAATACCAAGTTACAGTGAAATAAAAATCAAAACAGAAAAAAAAAAACAAAAAAAAAAAAAAAAAAACAAAAAAACTTTTCAAGGGTTTGAGATTCAGATTTAAAAAATTAATTCTGGATTGAAATTTAATTTTTTTTTAAGTGCCTGGATTTCAGCATTTGCAGGTGGGTGCCTGGCTGCTCCAGAAACTCACTTCTGAGTTCAAAATTTAAAAATGCCTTTTTCAAAAAAAAAAAAAAAAAAAAAAAAAAAAAAAAAAACTGCTGCAGCTGTGGAGCCAGCCATCTTGCTATTTTGTCCCCATTTTAGAGAGGAGACTGTGTCAAGGTTGGTAAAACTCAATGTTGACCTAATCTTTCCCTTCCTCTCCCTCCCCCACTTTTGGGTGGAAAGGCCATGTATCTCTCCTATATTGCTTTTTTCTTGAAACAATGCATGTTTCAATGCTCTTTTGTTATTTATTTTTAAAAAGATCAATACCAAGACCCCACTATTCAAGGGCAACCCTACAATAATAACCCAGTGTGTGCACAGTCCAGAACTCACAGGCAAACCCGTAACAGCAAAATAACAGGAACATAAGAGCATTTAAAAAAAAAAAAAAAAATTATAAAAAAAAGATTTTCAATTCAAACTCCAGGAAGGCTTTATAGTAAGAGTCAAGGAGAAAAAGCATTTTGAAATTGTGAAAAATATCATGGCTGAGCCCTTTAAAGGCACTTTAGTTTTACTATTTAAAAAAAAAAAATCAAAATCACTAAATCTACAATTATTTTTTCACAATATTGTTAATTATGCATATTCATAATATCATGGCGGACCTTATAATAAACCTGTGTAAATACTAGATTTATATGATCCACAGCATCTGGAGTTGTTACAGTGTGTGTGTTTAAAAAAAGAAGAAAAAAAAAAAACTAAACTAAAAACCCTACTATGGAAATTTTTTTCTTTACAAAAGAAGTAGGAAATTAAATGCTGGAAACTATGTTTTAATTATGCCAGGAGAAACCATCAGAAAAGTCAAGAAATTCAAAAATAAAACTGACATACGACTCTTAATTTTGCTTGTCCTCGTGTTTTCCTGGACTGTGTTTAGAACCTCATTGTTTAAGAGCAGTTTTGCATGAAATCCAAAATCACCAAAAAAAAAAAAAAAAAAAAAAATTTGGGTGTGTCCACAGCAAATTTTCTATGCTCTAATTTTCCTTCAAAACTCCTCATTTGAAACAAATAACTTTAAGCACTGCAGCAAAAAAATCAGTTTTGGCACTGCGTGCTGCACAAGTTCAAAATTACAATGAAGTACAATTCATAATTGCTCCGTAACAGCAATTCTCCCACTTTCCCAAACTAATCACTTTATTGCAGCTCATCCGGGGGTGCCCATCTCAAACTTGAATTACTTTCATTTCCGAGCACTCCGCTGCTCCCAGCCTCCCTTTTCCTCCAGAAAAAGGGGTGTGTGGGGGGAAACCTGAATTCATTCAAATTCCAGCTTAATTTTCATTTACATATTAGCTGGGCTTTGCCTCCAAAGGGACAAAAATGAAATTTGGGGGTCGAGCCCGGGCGGCCCCGGGGGCAGCGGCAGGGGGACCCGGCCACGCACTGCCCCGCCGGCACCAACTTTCTTGAAAAATATGAAATAGTAGAATATTTCCTCTTTTTTTTTTTTTTTTTCCAATTTTAATTTCTTTTTTTTTTTTTTTTATTTACGAAATAGTCTCCTCTAGGTGGCGTCGTTTTAATGGAAAAAAAAAAAAAAAAAACACCAAAAAAAAAACCCTACCGTTCGGGAGGAAAATTAGAAAAGGGGGAAGGAAAAAAAAAAAAAAAAAAAAAAAAAAAAAAAAAAAAAAAAAGAAGAAAAAAAAAAAAAAAAAGGAAGGGGGGAAGCTAAAAGCAAAAGCCCCGTGAAGGGGAGAGGGGGAGCGGCGGGCGGCAGCGCGGCGGGCCCGGGGCGCGGGGCCGGCCGGGCCGGGCCGGGGCAGGCGGGCCGGGGCGCGGGCGCCGGGCCGGGCCGCGGCCGGCGGCTCGTCCCCGCCGACATGGCTGCTGTGCCGGGCGCCGCTTTGTTCGTCGGCCCGGGCCGGTGCGGGCCGCGGCGGTCCGGGGAGCCGTGCCCCGCCGGCGCCCCCCGCGCACTGCGCCAAAGCGCCGCCGGCGCGGCTCCGCGACGGGGCGGCTGCGGCTGCCGCCCTCCCTCCCTTCCTCCCCGCTCCCTCCGCCTCCCCCCGGGGGACACGCCGCCCGGCCGCCGCGTACCTGCGCTCCCGTCCCCGTCGTCGCCGCCGCCGCCGCCGCCGCCGCCGGAGCGGAGCCGTCCGGCTGGTTCATGAGGCTGGGGCGGGAGGCAGGCGAGCCCCGCGCCGCCGGGGCCTGCGATCCGCCGCGCACAATGCCGGCGCCGCCGCCGCCGCCGCTGCCTCCTTTCCGCCCTCCCAGGAGCGGCGAGTGGGGGCGATGCCCCCGCTGCGCGGGTGGGCGGCTCGCCGGGCTGCTGCAGCCCCCCTTCCCCCCGGGGGCATGGGCCGGGGCGGCCGCCGCGGGCACGGGCGCTGCCGCTAGCGGCGCGGCGCGCAGGGCTGGGCGGGCGCCTCCCGCTGCCGAGCCCGCGCCGCCGCCGCCATCACGAGCCGCTCTGGGGGCCGCTCCAGCCGCAGCGCGCTCGCAGCCAGCGGCGGCGGGAGAAAGGGGCTGAGTCTGGCCCAGCGCGGCAGCCGCGCCGCCGGCCGGCCCCGCCGCTGCCCTCCGCCCCCGCGCGGCCCCGGGCCCGGCCCGGCCCCGCGCCGGCCACCGCCGCCGCCGCGGCCGCCCAGCCCGGCCGGCGCGGGGCCGCTCCGCGCCGTGGGGCCGCCGCCGCGGCGCCCCCCGTGGGGTGGCGACGCGGAGAGGGGGTGGGGGGGGGCGGGGGTGGGGGGGGGTGCGGACCCCGGCCCCCTCCCGGGAAGCCCGGGCAGATCGGCGGGGTCGGGCCCCGGGCGTCGAGGCGGCCTTCGGCCCGCGGCGGGGGCTGCCGGCGAGCCCGGCGGGCGGTAGCCGGGCTCCCCCTGAGCCTCCCCCGGCCTCTCGGGAAGGGACGGTCGCACCTCGTGGCGGCAGAAGGCAGAGGAGCCCTGGGGCGAAGCGGGACCCGAGGGGAGACGGGGCGACCACCGGGCACAAGGGTCCGGGCAGCCAGACCCCTGCCTGCGCTCCCCGGCCTCTCCCACCCTTCGAAGCGCCGCTTGCCCTTTCACCGCCGAAGCTCCCGAGTGTTGGTGTCCCCCCACACACACACTTTTGAGAGCTGTTTTGCCGCGACGCAAAATGGGGGGGAAAAGTCGGTTCCCCATCCTCATGTGAAACTCGTCCCGGCCCCATCTCCCTCTGCGGAGAGCTTTTCCTCGGCACGTGCTCACGACGCTCAGTGCCGCCCAGCAAACTTGGCTATTTTCCTCCAAAAAAGAGAAGAGCAGTGCTTTTTCTTCCCCTGGAAAACATACAGCATTAACTACAAACGTGATTACTTCTCGTGCGTACCTGGTGTTTTTCTCCATCGTGAAGCACTGCCAAAAATAAATTACGAACAGTATTAATAAATTAATGTGAACTCACGGATTTCCCTGCCCTGACCCATGAAACCCTCTTTCCCTAGAGCTCCACAAAGCTAAAAATTTGCGGAGAGTCAATGCTGATTTTGTTCTTGTTGCCCAGACTAAAGATAGCTTCAAAGATATTGCAAAACACAATTTTATTTTTCTTAATATCTTTCATGCAGATTTCATTCCAAAATGCTGTACAGTCAGATAATGTAATTACAGAGCTAAATAAAAACAAAGGGGCAGGGGAATTGGTGGAGATGTTGGGCAAGGGAAGATGTTTTCCGAATGAGCTTAGAAGGGATGTGGGAAGTCAAGAAGCAAAAACCACTCATGAGGCTCTTTCACCCCCAGTGTCAGCATGAAGAGGAGCCAAAAAGAGTCCCTCATGGACCAGAATAAAGCAAAATAGGGTGTTTAACAAATAATATAGTTTGAGGAAGTTTGGGGAGAAAATGCCATTTTGACACGGAGTTTGCAGCATGAGGAGGTGCGTAGAGATACATTTGGGAAACCTGCTCCCTGCCTTCCTTCCTGAAGTTGAAGCCTGGAGAGAAAAGATCTCCAACCCTCTGCGTACCATCATGCCTGAGGGCCCGTCTCGAGCGGTCACTGCGTGCTTTTAAGCGTCTTCAGCTGTGGAGACTCCATCATAACTCATTGTGACTTGGCCATCCATTCATCACCTCCACTGCTGAAAGATGAAACCGTGACTCACTTCTAGCCTAACCCTATTTTGCTCCCATTTGGTACGTTTGTAACGTGGAAGAGCCTCCTGCCATCCCATGTCCATGAGCCACATAGGTAAATCACCCCTTTGCCTTCCTTTGGGGTCTTTCTTCCCCCTGGAAGGACAGGATTTGAGCTCTCCAAGCTTCCTCGGCCCAAACCTTCTCCCCTTTTTTCTTGTCATGGGCACAGAACAGATGCAGGAATAGAGCAGCAACCAGGAAACTGCCAGAGACGTCAACCAGGTCTTCTTTTGCATGGGTATTTTTAAAATGGCCTTGCAGTTTGCTTTGGCTGTCCAACTAACGCGGCCGTTGCGCTGGGTGGTGGGGCTGGGGCCCCGCGGGAGAGAGTTGCCAGTTCTTTGGTCAGATCTCCCAGTTTGAAGCCTGACTCCTGCGGGATTTGGCTGCTGGTTGGTCCTGGCTTTGTGAAACCAGCCCTCCGAAACTAGCGTGTGTTTCTACTGCTGAGCGTGGGTTTCCTGCTGTTTACACACAATGGGTATCAAGTGGTGATCCCTTCTGCCTGAAGAATCTCCTGTGCTCCTCTGTCAAAGTGAGGTCTAATGCAGAGTTTCTACAAATCAAGACATTTTGAGGTAGGAGATTTCAGTTGATTAGGTCTAAGGAATTTCAAGGATCTTTTAATTGTGGCAGGATGAGATATCCACTGTGTCACTCAGACTCAAGTCCCTCGTGATGAGGTGGCCTTTTCTCCTGTGTGTTAGAGACAGACATTTCAGTCGTGCCAGCCTGCCAATCCAGTAGCATTCAGTGGGCTCTTCTGTCCTGACTGGCACCAAGTTTCTGTGTTACTGCTTAAAACTGCCCCATCATCAGTGACCAGAGCCTGAAAACCCACATTCTTACATTTTTAATGCCCTCAGACCTTGGGTGACAACTACTGACAGGCCCATTCCAGCCAGGAGCTCTCCCCACCACATTTCAAACCTCACTTTCTGATAAAGATCAATCTCTTTTCTCTTCTTACTCTAGTTCCTGGTGTCTGTGGGCAGAGGGCACAGTGGTGCTCACACATCCACAGGACTCCAAGCCTGAGAACCTTGAATGCCTCCTGGGACCTCGGCGTCTGCGTGGCACCGGACTTGTCATGGGTAACTCAGTGATTCCTCTCTCCTCTCCTGCCTGTAAAGCAGGGCAGCAGCAGTGCTCCCCCATGCCCAGGGAAGCTCTGTAGTCATTGCAGACTGGGAATGCCATCCTGGTAGGAACTCACCTTCCACGTGCTGGAGGAGGTAGGGTCCCAGCTGCAATAAACCAATGTGATAATGTGATTAAAGATTGTCATAACACACATACATACGAGGGCTGGTTCCGCAAGCTTGATAATCATCTTTTGACGTGCTGTATTTGCATGTATTACCCTAGTATGTTTTTAAGGCAGGCAGCACAAACAATTTATTTTCCATACCAGTGTTGCAGCCCTCCCAGCGTCTATCATGAGGTGATGGAGTGCCCTGGGAGCTTGCGTGCTGCGGTGTAGGCTTATGCTTGAGCTATTGTGTTAAGGATGTTGGTAACAGGAGAAGGCTGTTGGGTGAATGAGTCAGGTGGAAATGCCACTTAGCCCCTGGAAAGTGTGTTACAATGAACAGCTAACTCTGTTTCACAAAAGTACAGCTGAGGATGAAGTTATGACACACTGGAGGCAAAGCCCAGCAAGGCGATGAAGGTTCTGCGTAAGGCACTTGTGCTGTTTCCAGCGAGGAGCCTCTTCACGGGGTATGTGCTCAATAGTCCGGAGGAGGAAATTACTGATAGCGGCCTGCTCAAGAAAATCCAGAGCTTGCGATCCCGTCAATCCCACCACAGTGCTCGCTCATGTGCACCAAAGATTATCCTGACGGGATGCGGGGGATCCCTCTGTTTCAGTGCCCACTCTGAGGTTTAGACTCTGTGTCCGAACAGCTGAAGTCGAGCCTTGTGCAGGGGCAGAATGCTGAACACTTCTCATGCGCTGCCATAAATAAGGCAGTCGGCAAACCACAATCAGGAAATGGCGAAAGGACTATTTATAATCACCGCTATCTGCAAAGATATCTATGAGACCAGCAAAAAAAAAAAGTCCCCACTTCACTCTTCCTGACCCCAGCACTGTCTGTTTGCTTCACTTCGAGGCACTAAAGCTCATCGGAAATGTTTGCCAATGGTTTATAAAAGGAAGTGTTGGATTGTATTTGTGCTTGTCAGCACTGAACTGCTCCTTCCTTTTCCAGCTGTGATCCCTTTTGTCCCCTCTTTTGCCGGGACCATGTGTGCTCTGAGCACCCACTGCCAGTGTCTACAGGGACCCTACATATGTAGATCTAAAGGATCTACATATCCAACACAGACTGGTGCTCTCTGCAGTGGGCTGATACCAATAATGCACTGAATAACCCACTGTGTGGAACAGGAGCCCCCAAAACGTACAGGCTTAGGTACAGTACTTTTCCCTGCAGGATAATTAGCAAGTTCTTCATTCGCACCAAAAGCTCTTGAGAAATTACAGCGGCTGAGTTGTTAGGATCGGCTGTGTTTGGGTGATGACAATAAACCCCTGTCCTGGGGAAATTCTGGTGAAAGCCATAGCTTCTGACTGCGGAGCTAATGGCCTGATTTTGGATGCATGTGGTGCTTTGCTTCCCCCTGTTCTGAGTGGTTTTGTGAAGAGGCCAGAGCTGTGCACGTCTCAGGACGCAGCTGAATTTCAGGAGCAAACGCAAGGGTGTGAGAGCATTTATAAGCATGTAAGCGCGTATTTTACCTATATATATATATAAAAAAGAAACCTTTGGTTTTAAAAGCATTAAAATTGTATAAACACGACACTCTCCAGAGCAAACTGCAAAGCAATAAAATCCCAAGCCGTGGGGCACCTCTTACCCACACTTTAATGACTGTACAACACATTTCTGCTGACGGTGAGAGGTTTATTGCTACAACAAAGAGCTTCCTTCTGCTTCCGACAAATAATGCAATGGCCACCTCCCAGCATGGGGATCTACCCTGCCTTTACCTGGAGGTGCAAGGCAGCAGATCCCCACTTGGGGGTCCACAAATGGGGGGGCAGCCAAAAGTGCTTGGCCACCTACCTTTATGGGAGGGGGATGCTTGGAGCCCACGTGCCCTCTCCGGGGCTGCACTGGAGGCAGCGTTTGGGTGCTAGAGCTGCGAGCAGCTCTGCCTTGTCCGAGAAATACACGCCGGGCTGAAGAAGGGCGTTGTGTGGATGAAGGCCCCAGGCACGGGCAGCCTGGCCGATAACCCCAGGAGATGTTCAGGGTTGGCACGTGCACGCCGGCTGCACGCGCAGCAGCGCCGTGTGCTTGGGGTACGGCTCGGGGTGTGCATTATGCTGCAGGATTGTATTTGGCAGGAAAAAGGTGTCCAAGAAAATTCAGACACTGAAGCAAAGAACCTTAATAAATGGGA